ATTTATCTAATATAATAAACTTGAATTTGTATAAAAATTCTAAAAATGCTATCAATGCATATTCGATGCTAATTCCTTCACCACATCAAAACTAACTTTAATTCTATCAAATCAACCTTTCAAGTCCCTTAAATAACCATTCATCACAATCATTCACTGAATTTTTTAAAACTCCACATTTAGTCACCATTAATCCTTTCTTTAAAACAAATCCCAATACTTTCAAAACATTCAATATGGTCCCTTAAAGTTCAATTTAATCCATATCAATCATCATACTCAACCCATTTCACAATACTCCCAAAATAATACACCAACATTGCAAAATTACCATTTCGTCACTAACTTTCCAAAAAACTTGCAAATTGATCCCTATACTTTAATAAATTCCCAAATTGGTCCAAACCAATTTCCAAAGTATGTAGAATCATTCTATTATCAATTCTAACCCATAGAAAAGTTTTACAAAATTTTCTCTTATTTTTTCTTGATGGTCGAACCTATGTAATAGTCTTGAACATGATTTACATTTTAATTCAAGCATGAATTCAACCTCCTAACTTCAATTCCATGCAATTCCAATCAACTCCATATCAAATTCAATCCAAAATCAATAATTCTTCATGAAACCCTAAGGTGATCAAATCTTCATAACCATTTCTAATGGTTTTTATTCATCTCATAAGATTAAAAACAACTCTACAACAACTACTACATCAAATTCAACCTTTAAATCACCAAAACACAACTTTTTCTTCATCTACCATATTCAAGAATTCATCATTTCAAGAAAGAAAAACATGATATTTTTTACACAAAATGAAAGAGGATTCAATGTAGTATATTTTTCTATTTAATAATTTAGTCCAAAATCCTACTAATATGGCTCAAAAATGAAAAAGAATTTTTTTCTCACCTTGGAGAAGCTCACAGTAGCAAGGAGAAGGAGGAAGGAGGGTTTATGAATTTTGTCCCAAAAAAATCTCGCTACGCTTGTCATTTAAACAAATTAAAATGAATTTAAAATTTATTTTAGTCCAAAAGTCCTTTTTACCCTTAATTAATCTTAATAATTACCTCCATGTCATCCTTTCATCTCCATTTTAATAAAATTAAATAAATATAAAAATCATATTTGCTAATTTTCACCTTTGCCCTTCTAATTTTTCAAAAATTCAATTTAGTCACTTAATTCTACTATTCCAGTTTAACATGGAAAATCCACGTAATTCTACTGTTCCATGTTAAATTTTACTGATTAAAAATATAAATATAATATTTCTAACTCCATACTACCATCCTTCATTTTTTTTTTGTAAATTTTCGATTCGATCTGATTATCTAAATACTTTACCAAACTTTATTGCTTAATAACTCTTTACACAAATTCCGGATCAAAATCTGAATTCCATCCATTTTGAAAGATGAACTATTTATTTATGGAATAAAATATCTTTTGGGAAATGATCAATTTAGTCCTTGAACTTTTCTCAAATTTTTGCTTTGGTTACCAAACTTTCAAAAATTACATTTTGGTCACCTGTCAAAATTGTGGGGGTATTACATATAAAATTAAAAAGGGTAGATTACAAAAATTTTCACTGATATTTTTCAACAATCGAAGCTTATAACGAAGTTGTCGTTGTCTCCTATGCCCTGACTTTAGCCTGCCAAACCTGCGCCTTCACTTCCTCTTCGTTATCCCTCAACCTCCTCACCATCGATTCCTCTGTTGCCACCAGTAGCTCTTGGTAGTGCCTATGTCTTTTCTTTAATAACGTACGTTGCAATGCCTCCCCCTTTAACACCAACTTTTTTTTAAAAAAAATTATACAATTTTTTATCAAACAAAAATTTGATCAAAGTCCAATTAAAAAAAGAAAAATCTGGAGTACCTAACCTTGAAAGAATTTATCCAATTCTTCTCTTTGGCATTTGATTTGGGTACCCAAATCAACAGATATTATAGACCAAAAAACATGTGAGTTTGGAACAACATTTTGATGTTGGTATTCATAACTTTGATTTTGTTGTAAATGTTAATATTGATCGCTAAAAGATAAGCGGAGTCCAGTAGAGACTCCATTGGGTTTTTGGAGTTGATAAATGTCTATCAATTAAGGCGGTTGTGTTTGCAAAGAAAATGAATTGATTGATGTCGTTGTTATCGTCGCTTCCATTTATCTTCCTCTTTTTCTTGGATTGTTATTGCTTCCATTGTTGAAGAACATATGGGATTGATCAATACAATCTCCTCCTTATTGATGTAGTGAAAACTCATTTTGCCCACTTTTGAAAAATTCATGCCAACAAGAATAATAAACAAATGAAAATCAAGATGAACAAGAAAGCAAAGGGAAAAAAAAAAGACAAACCTGTTTAAAAGGAAGACATTTGAAGTGTATTGGGCTTGAACGACCATGGTGAATTGAAAGGTAAGAAATATAATGAATGAATCAAAGAAAGAAACTATAAGCTCAACAACCTAAATCAAAGAGAGATGAAGAAGAATCGACCTTTATCATCTGCTCTTATGCATATACAGGAAGAGAAAATTAAAATGGTTTTGAATACTCTTCGTATAAAAAATTATAGAAATTAAAATGATTTTTATGCTTGCTTTCGTGTCGGTAGAATTTCGCATCAATTCAGAGCATTTTCGAACATATACTGCAAAATGATCTCGATTAATTTGTTACTTTTGAAACTTCAATGGAAAAAATAAAAATTTACTCAAATATTAGTGATTGTTTGTGTAATTTACCTTTTTAAATTTTCTATATTCACTGTGTAACACCCTAATCTGATACGACTCAAAGTCGGCCGATTAGACTACCACACGGGACCACCAGAGTTGCTAACCAATTTTTTTTCTTTAAATACTTAATAAAATGTCAATTTAAAACCATTCAAAGTAAATCAAACATAAATACATACAAGGTTTACATCGGGAGCTCACAAAATAAGTATAACAAAATAATAAACCGAGTATTCAAAATAAAGTTATGATTTAAGTACAAGAAGGTCTGTGAATAATACATGCCCTCTATGGAAATAAGACTCAAGACGTACTCTGTTGCTCGATCAGTCTAGGACGATTGTTGTGCGATAGGTTTCTCGAACGCTCCTCCTACGGACCTGCGCACTGGAATCAAATTATGAATGCTGAGCTCACTAGCCCAATGTCACACTAACAACTAAACCATATTAAAAGTGTTCATTAAGTGCTCATGCTATCAAGTGCAATAATGATAGTGAGTATACTCGTATACTACAATCTACTCCTATGTAGACATAATGGTATGGTCGGATGGTTACACATATCGGGACACACACCCTTCTAGTCTACCTAAGGTGAGGTCTGAAATCTCTACATGGAACACAACATTCGACTAACGCACTACCAAAGGATATCCAGACTTTCTATTCCTCTGACCAATTTCATCAACTAAAGTAACTCGAGTGTCCTAATTCCTTCTCGAGCATCGACTAAGACTAGTTTTATGTCATCCTAGATGATCTTGTTTCTAGCTTTAATTGATTATTATTAGGGTTTTCACTTGAAGTTTTATTTGAGAGTAAATCGAGTCCTTTTGGGTCCCTCAACATTTCTTTTAATTCCCTTGGACAATTTTTCCAAAAATGTATATGGGTACCGATACTGAACATCTTGGTATCTGTATCAACTTTTAAGTATCGATACTCACCCTCAGGTATCGATGCCAACGTTAATTTAAAGCTAAAGTAAAAGGGAAATATCGATACTTTGGTGCTAGTGTATCGATACCAAGTTTTGCTTCGATATTTTGAAAAATACCTCGGTATTGATACTCCTCCCTTGGTATCGAAACTCCCATGAGTACTGATACCAAAATTGGCCACTGAAAAATTAGTCTCGATACACCTCTTGCGAGTCTCAAAACCAGACCTACGGTATTGATACTCAATGGATGAGTATTAATACTCCTACACCAAATTCCACTAATTCGCAATAATAATATCGTTATTGTTCTTCTAGTACTGATACCTAAACCCATAAATACCTTGTTTGGGCATGAATTTGATTCCCAAAGTTACCCCAGATGTCCTATTGAGATCACAAAACATTATTAAAGTTTTATGTGTGATACAAGGGTCATAAAAGTGCTAAAAACATCAAAAGCTTGAATTTACCATTGATGCTCATTCATGCTCCACAACTCATCTCTCAAGCTAGATACATTCCTAATTACTCGCAAATGGTATAAAAAGAGTTATGAATGTGTTATCTTGACCTCCTAGCTATTGGAAACGCCCTCTAATCACCCAAGGGTCAATTTCTCATTCTTTTTATCTTTAGAACTTTCTCCCACTTCTTTTAGTAATCAAAGGCAAATAAATGAGTTACTAACTTATCTAGGGGCTTGGATAAAAGTTAAGGACACTTTCTAAAACTTAAATCCACTAAAAAAAGGTTAAAAATCACTTAGTTTCTTAAACCCCACTAAAACCCATTTTTGGTTTCTATGGACAAAACTTGATCTTAGGGGCTTAAATGAAAGCTTGAGAGGTGAGGATGAATATTCTTATCTTTGCAAATCCAAACTAAGCTAATAAATCTAAAAGCTTCCATCTTTTCTTAACTCTTGGCGAGAAAGAAGAAGGAAAAAAGGAAGGAGACAAAGAAAAGTTTTTGATGAGATAAAAGAAGAGAAGAACAAACGTGATATCATCTTCAATTAAGAATTTTCAGCTTTTGTTTTGAAAAATGGGCAATTACACCTCTAGTCCTCTTTCCTTTATCCTAATATTAAAAATGCACCTTTTTATAACTTATTGGGCTCAACCCAAGACCAACTAAGCTTAAATTGGAACAAGCCTTCAAATAAGTTAATTTATTTATTCTTAGAACATCTCGGATTATCCCGAATTTCTAATATGAGATTTGAGGCATTACAACTCTCTCCTCCTAGTAAGAAATTTCGTCCTCAAAATTTACCTGCATAGAAGAGATGCGGATATTAAAGCTGTATATCATCCTCGATTTCCCAAGTTACTTCCTTGACACCATGATTCCTCCACAAAACCTTCAATAAGATGATCTTCTTATTTTGTAATTCCTTCACATCCCTAGCCAATATCCTTATTGGCTCCTCTTTATAGTTCATGGCTTGACTCACCTTGATTTTCTCTAGTAGAATGATATGAGAAGGGTCGGAACGATATCTTCTTAGCATAGACACGTAGACCACATTATGGAAGCATTTCAACTCTGGTGGTAAGACCAACCGGTAGGCCACGGATTCAACCCTCTTGAGTACTTCATACGGTCCCATGAAACGCAGGTTCAATTTTCTTTTACACCCAAATCAAAGTACCTTCTTCTACGAAGACACCTTGAGGAACACTTTGTCTCCCATGAAATACTCAATATCCTTACGTTTCAAGTTTGCATACGATCTTTGTCTATTAGAAGCTTCCTTCAGTCGACTCTGAATCAACTTATCATTCTCCTTAGTTTCTCTGATTAAGTCCGACCCCACTATATTTCCTTCACTGAGCTCTGTCTAACAAAGGGGAGTCCTACACTTGCACCCATTCAAAGCCTCATACGGAGCCATTTGGATATTGAACAAATAATTGTTATTATACGTGAACTCCACTAACGGTAGGTGGTCTTCCTAACTACCCTCGAGGTCCAAAATAGAGTTTGGTACCTAGGGATTTATAGATACCTGTTTTAATTCGGGTTGTTATTAATATCTAATAATATTATTATTTATATTATAATTATGAATTTTTATTATCATTTTTTACAAGATACAAAACCAAAGTTGGGGCCCCGAATTACAACAGGCCCGATCAGACCTTTACAATATGCCTAAACGGGCTCAAAATTACAAGCCCAAACAGTGAGCCCCAACAGCTTGTCCAAACCTAAACCTGGGCCTAATACACTAACCTAAAGTAGTTAGGGTTTATAGAAACCCTAGGGTTTCCAACAGCCACCGTCGCCAGTAAGGAAAGAGTTACACCGTCGCCACTGTTCCGATCGATTGATCTTGATCACTCTAGTAGTCGTTCAACCACCCCGAGTCATTACCTCAGGCCGAATAGTGCACCAAATCAACAAGTCAAAACAAAATCAAGAAAAACCCTATAAAAATGATCTAATCCCAAAAAATGGGGATATTTTCCCTGCTCAAATATAGGGAAATCATTCCCTATGAAGATCACATCACTTACATCCGAAAAGAAGACATAAATGAGGAGGCAACCATTTTTCCAGGGAGATTCGGTTTGAAAAAAAAAAAGATGAGAGCATTCAGGGTTAATTTTTTCGAAAAGAAAATAAACAACAAAAACAAAATAACGAAAAAGAGATAAAGAAAATAGAGGAGCTTACCTTGAGTTTACATCGCCGGCGACGAGGAGGCTTGGGTTTAGCATCGAATGTAGTTTTTTTCTTTTAATTTTGGGGTCAGTTTGTGTTATTTAGGGTGATTTGTGTCTCGAGTTAGAAAGGGTTGGTTTTAATTTTAGGGGTTATCGGTCCATCGTCGGGGTCGGTTAAGGCGGTAACTGGAGGGTTTAAGAAGAAAACGAAAAAGGTAAGGGTGGGGGAGAGAATGAGAGAAACGGCTGAGGGAAGCTAAAATGGTTTATAACCACACGAGGAAACGGTGTCGTTTTAGCGTTAGGGTTCCATGCGTTTAGCTCATGGGTTAATAGCACCCTAGGTCCCTCACTATTGTAATCTGTTTGTCTTGGTCATGAAATGCAAATGGGTTATTATTGTGTTTGATCCTTTTTATCTTGTACATGTTATATTGTAGTCACTGTTATTATCATAATATTATGTGATATTTGCGAGATATGGGTCTCATATTTCGAGAGTTTGCATTTTAGCCCCAAATTACAACTTTTCATAAGTTTATGATTTTCGCCTCTTTTAATTACGCGTGTTCATTTTGGTCACTATAAGTTATGTATTATTTATTATTTCGATTTCCAGCATGTAATTTTGAATAGTTGTATTTTGGTCTGAAATATATGGATTTATTACATTTTCAGTGTTTGTAATATGTCGTTTTTAGAGTATGTGTCATGTTATTTATTTAATTTGTTTTTGAGACATTAATTTTCTAGTTTTATTATTTTAGTCCCTTTATGTCTATTATTTTATCTTTATGATTATTTTAATTTGAATGCTTTATTTTAAATATGTCCATTTTGATCTCGAATGATATAAGTTGGTCTATTTATAAAGGTAGTGCTTAGTTTATAAAACATTTGCCATGGTTGTCTTGATTTCTTGTTAGTGTTATGATTTAATCCCTAAAGTCATAATATTTATTATTTAGATCAATTATTTTCAATTTTGTTAATTACTTGCTATTTATAATATTTTTTAAATATTATTTTACTCGAGGAATTTATAAAAACGCTCCTTAACTGACAAGAAATGTGTTTATATGAATTGTTCGAATAAAATAATATAGTTTATATTCGAATGAATTTTTTTAACATAATTAATATATGTATTTGGGTAATATTATTTTGTATGGGAATCATTGAAATGCACCCTTAACTGACAATGAAGGTATTTCGATAATTGCTTGTATAAAATAACAACCTTTATGTTTTCTAAAAAAAAGATCATGATTTAAATGTTATTCGAATTTGTCAATTTCAATATTTAGATGATGTATAATCACTTAGGTACCAATTTCGGGTGTTGTGGGGGTGCTAATCCTCCCTCACCTGTAATCGACTCCCGAACCCTTTTCAAAACGAGTTTCTGGCTAAACGCATATCATTTTTTATCTTTTAAAATTATTTTTCTTAAAATTATTTTAAAATGTATTTTTAGGTATTTGATCTACCTAACCCAAAGGTCGATGGCGACTCTAAATTTTTTTATTTATGTGTTTATTTTAAACCCAATCTTTTCCTAAAATTAAGTTGGATCAATCCCCGTAAATAGCCCAAAAAAGCTTAAGGATCGTTCCGACAACTTGGTGACTCCGCTGGGGAGGTTAGAGAGTCAGGCCATAATCAATTATACATAATTTTTTTTAGTTGAAAATGATAAATTCGAATTATATTTAAATTTTGATCCTCATGTTTTGGTTGCATCGCATTATACATCTTTTATTTATTAGTTGTACTAACGTGTGATTTGTATGTTTCAGATTTCTGACTTTTGTTATAGTCTTTTGGTTTTTTGGATCGAGGCAAGGGATTTTTGAGTTTCCTCCAATCGCGCCAGAATCGTTCGAATATTTAGAGCCTTATAATTGTGCTTTGTCCCGTTAGGTAGGGGTTAATGCTACGTTTAAGTGAGAAAAAATATTTTTCTCCACATGGGCTTTAGCAAGTAACCTCTGGGGTGCATATGCCTCGTGTTTAGGAGTGCAACATTGAGTTTCCTCTCATGGACATAAGGAAATGCATCCTCTCAAATTGAACTCAACCCGTTTAAGCCTATAATGGGTGAAGGTTGAGGGTCTGGCAGGCTCAAGGGGGCACCAAAAAAGGACAATTCGAGGACCGTTTTAGTAATACCGAAACTCTACCCATTTCACACTGAATTTCTGTCATCTGCTCTTCAAAAGTCACAAAGGAGAAACTCACTCTAACCTTTTCCTCGAATTTATTTATTTTGCAAAAGCATGAGAATTAGAAGAGTATGTGGTTAGGTTCATTTTTCTCAAATAAGCATGTGAACTAAATGGCATGAGGTTAGGATTTATATGTTGAATGAAGCGTGGGGTAGAAAGCATGTCTGGGTAGAACTGTTATAAAAGCATGTCAGGGTAGATACCATATTGGATAGGATCTTTTCCTTTCGTAAATTTTTCTTCTGCTTTTTGGTTAAGTGGCACTAACAATTTCTTTTGCTTTATCTTATTTTTATTTGCCTTATGTTTGCAATTGCATTTTTCACATCATAACTAAACAAGGTGTTAATTCACAAATGATTGATCTAATCAGGAGGCTTTTATATCGACATAAGAGTTCCATAACTAGGTAGTCAAAACCGTAAGGGCGATAACTTACAAACAAAATTGATAGACAGGGGAAGAGCTCAAAGTTGATGGAAGACTCCTATTAAACGAACGAAGATCGGGATGGTATCAAATAGTCAGATGCCAAGTTGAGTCAAGAGTGAGAAGATTCTTCATGAGATATAAAAGCAGTTTTCTCTTGGAGAATTCCACGAAAATGGAGGTCTAGAGATCCAATAATTACGATAGATGAATTAAAACAAAGATAGGTGGATCAACACTTTGAGAAGTCTAACAATGACTACTAAGACAATATCAAGTCGTGAAAAAGGCCTATATCAAGTAAATGAAAAAATAAAGCTTATTTGTCTAGTGTAAGGAAAAATTATGGTCTGATGAAGGTTTTTCTATGGTGGTCGCTTTTGGGAAGTAATACCTTGTGTATTTGTATTTGCATTCGCATTCTTGTTTTGTATTAGCTTATTAATTTATTTATTTTTTTATTTGCTTCTATAATAATTCTTTTCATCTTATTATTTTATTTGTACAAACTTGTTTTTATGTTATTTTCTTTCTGCTTGCGTCACAGGATCATGGCATAATCAAGGTGTTGATTTGTTAGTGGTCATCATAGTAAAATGTTTTCATGATGGAAAAAGGGTTTTATAATCAAGTAAACTATAATAAAGCTAGGGAATAGATCCTAAAGAAACTCCATGAACAGTGGAGAGCTATGCGCCCTAGGATCTTGTGTCTGACGAAGAGAAAAAGGAGATAAGAGAGATAAGAAAACAAATGTGCAGGATAATGGATAGAATAACTGCTTTGGCCAAAGGAAAAGAGACTTCTGCAAAATGAAAGAAAAATCTCGATGAAATCAATCTTGCGGTTTCAAATACACAAGGGATTACTTTAGAAAAAAGTTTGATTCTAGCCGATCTGAAAAATTACGCACAGTCATCATTCGTATCAACAAGTTATCTGGAGACACCAAAGAAATGATGACGACTGTAGAAGTTCAGAAAGATGAAAAGAGGCCATGTAATCAGAACTTGTGGGCATTTGAGAGTTTACTTATAATGTCAAGAGAAATAAACCTGAAGATTCCAGTTTAATCCAAGTAGAGATGTGGCCCTCATTTTGATCATATCCCCGTATCACATAAAGAGTTGTATGATACAGTTTTAGAACCTCGGGAGGTGGCCCCACATTATATGAAACCTTGGCAACCACCGTATCCAAATTGGTATGACGTCAATGTTCATTGTGAATATCATGTCGGAGCTCAAGGACATTCCATTGAAAATTGCACCGCCTTCAAGCAT